TACCAAATGTTTGGATCGGAACATGTTGGTGAGTAGGATGTCGTGCTGATTAGCTCATGTTGTTGATATTAGCATTAGTTGGATTTACAAGCAGCTGCCGTCGCCCCTAATGCAGTTACCTTGGGGACTTGTAAAGAACTTGTAAAAAGAGAACCATTGAGGAGAAGCCCATTATAAAGGTGTTATTTGTGCGGAGAGGATAAGAGTGTGTCACCAAATGTACCGCACCGCCACGATTCCCGTCACCCTTTTGCGATTTCAATTCATCCGTTGTACAGCTTTTTTTTTTTACAAACAACTGCTGCTCTTGAACCCTTCCTTCCCATACCTCAGCACTGTATATGCATTTTTAGTGGCTGTCTGTGCTATTCAAGTTCAGGAGCACTATGGAATCATAAGACGTGCCGAGGTACGATGTCGATTTGGTCGAGGGTTCAGTTTCGGTGTGGGTTTTTAGGGACAATAATTTTAGTTTGGCATTGGGTCAAAGCGTGGACAAATTTTGAATTACAAATGAGACACTTTTAGTGCTGTAATTGTCCCTAGATTTTTCATGTAGAGTTAGATTAGAATGCATCAGAATTTTTTAACAAATTATTCTGGAAGGACATGAATAATGTGTGTATGAAACAATAGCAGATGATGAGAAGGGTTGTGACTGAGCAGCAGCCTCCCAACAATGAGAACGACATTTGGTCTAGAGTGAGATTGAAATCGGGTCGGGAAAATGGGTTGCTGCATAATTTTTGAGTTTGGAATTGCACTTCTGTAGATAAAGAAGGATCTGATTTATCTTATCTGTGGCCATTTTGAGCAATCGAATGTGTAACATCACATCGCATTAATGTGATCTCCTGTTGTAGATAACGAAACCCAGGAAGCGAACGAGATCATTTCACTTTTAGCATTTAAGGACTGTTCCGCCCGGGGGTTAGTCGGGAGGGACAAATAACAGTCAGACGAAATAATGTACGAACATTCTCTTCATTTCATTGCAATTCAGCCGTCATGAGACCCTCCTAACAAAGTGTTATCATTGGATTGCAGTTGCTTTATGATGCATGTGACCAACTTGCAAGAGTTTTGAAGAAAGTTTACTACGCAACATTGGTTTGTAGCAAAATTGTAATTTTAAACAAAAGTCGCTGCATTGGGGTGCGACAATAAGAGGTCCAATAAAATGAAAACATTCGGAATTTGGTTTCGCGTTAATGGCAAACTCTGATCCTATCATTTAAGTGCTATTTACGATTAGATTAAAGAATTCCACTCGGGTACAAGTTATTTGTATCGTCTTTTTTCCTATATATTAAAGGAAGAATGCCTCATAAAGCAGCGATATTCAAGAGCCGCTCAAATAACAAGGTGCTTTCAGGTTTTAACAAGTACTAACGAGTGCCATGTGCCGATTCTGTACATCCATTAGTTTGCAAAGATGTATAAAAATTATGACTCAAGGATGTTTTATTGCGTTCTTTAAGAGTTAAAAATGAACAGAATTTTTACTCATTTTTAATGTTCGTAGCTATCATAGAACTCGTTTGTGCATCTTGTTGAACCAATCCATTATGATTCAATTGAGGAGGAAGGGTCATTTTTATATGGTTATCGTTCCTCTCCAAAAACCTTATTGCATAAAAATGTATAGAGTGAGGATTAAAGTAGGTGCCAGAGTTTGGCATTGGTCAGCCCATTTTTAATGCCATTTCAAACTAATGTTTATTCTTTCCATCGGAGCAACCCCTCTCTCTGTGTGCCATTATGTCAGTCCGGAACCCTTTGAAATCTCAATCAATAGGGTTTGGTGTGATGTTGAAGATGATAAACGACTCTGGTGCCTTTTTGTCCCTTGTTTGGCGCAGATATTTTTTGTTGAATCCGTAACTAAGTAAAAGGATAACGATGGAATATTGCTATGGTCTTATACAAGTTTAAATGGATGGTTGGGGACAATTACTTGTGGGGTTAAAATTAAAGGGTCAAACTCTTGAAGTCTGGAGCCAGCTTTATGTAAGTTTCTTTGGCGAAGATGCCATTATTTTCACATTCGCTGACACTGCCTGTTTTGAACGGTAATTTACTTTTAAGTATGAAATTACTCCAAAGTCACCCTGCTGCTGGTGTTACCAATCAAGTCAATCGCCACGTTCTGTTCAACGGGTTGGATTTAGATTTGGATGGTGGCGAATTCTTAAGGTTTGGAAGACTACGAAGAAGAAGAAGAAAGATCCTTAAAAAAAACCGGGACATTTGTCTCTCGTCTTTTTCTCCTTAGTCTCTCTCTCCTTGGGCAACTCCGTCTTTTGACTGTCCTACTTGACGGGAAAACGAAAGAAAAATTAATGGCATTTCAGAGACCAAACCACAGAAACGAACCGTTCATATTATTCGTTCGTTCGTCTCCTGTGCCGCCGTCTGCTCACTTTCCGCACACTTTCTCGGTGTTAATATCCTCGAATTTTTATGGTCCTTTTATATATATGCATGTATAAAAATGAGGGTGATGCGTCTTGCTTGGTTGGTGCTTGGTTGGTTAGTGTGGTGAATGAATGAGTGTGTGTGTGGCGATGGTGATGTATGACCTGTTTCATATATCGAATTCGAGAGAGGACGAAATCTGGGTTGATTTATCGTCTCCCTTCAAACAGTCCCTAACTCTTGGGAAGCAATAGTTGTGAGGGCCAACTATGCCCCCAATTTTCCAATCCTTTTCAAACTCTTGTCTCTGGGAAATGGATCATTTTTATCTGTACAGCTCCCCATTCGACTCATTCTCCACGTTCTAGGCCATGCTGGTCGTGGAACTCTCTCCTCTCTATTTGCTTTCTTGAGCGGGTGTTTTGCATTATATTCTTGTCTTCAGACCGCATTCGAGCCTCTTGATTGCTACCCTCGATAGAGGAGCGAGTAAGCAGCAGATGAGAGAAAGCGGAGGCGGATCGAAGAGCAGAAGTATTGAATGCATATGTACGTACTTACGTAACGTAAGTAAGGGGTGTGTATATATGTACATGCATATGTACATATGCATATGATATGAACCAAATTTCCGAATATTTTCTCTGTACTTTCTGCGATGGATGACCCAACAAATTTCATGCACAAATGTGACTCGATATCATTTTATTTATCGACCTATTTATGCAATGGGGTCAATATGATTCAAGGACTTTCTTTCAATTTTATGTCCATATTCCTGGTCACGAAGCGTCAGTTTGCTCTCTCTTCCTCTCCTCCTTCTCATACATATTCACAACATACTCACAACAACGCAATAATAAGATAGCAGGGCAATATATTTGCTGGAGGTCGTCAAAGTAACGTCGTCATGCATAATATTTCATACACTTGTGTTTTATTTATTGGGATTGCTTATGGCGTGCAAGTGGAAATGATGACTCATTTTTTAAAAACATTCTTCCTTTTCGCTCATATTTCAAAATGATGTTGTTGGGTTAAGCACAAATCCGACATGGTGTTTGGCACAGGATTGCTAAATTTGACATTGTATTTTTTCCTTATTATGGTTAGTACTTTGACCTTGATGTGGTGCAATCGCTTTGAGGTTGGCTGGTGGGTTGCTCTGTACTTCATATTCTGGATGGATCAGAAGATGACAAATTGAGACTAGGAAAAAATGTAAATTCGGGATGAATTGCCGTGATTTTGAGCACACATGAACTTTTCTCCCACCAAAAACCCATCATTAGTTGAGAAAGCTAGGTAGAGAATGAAGCAGTTTTTGGCCTTACATACTTTTAGTAGTGAGGCGACAAGGATAAGTGTTTCATATGCAATTCCCGTCATTCCATATCATTACCGTTATCCGTATTGTTATCATCATTACTGTTGACTCGTTTGGTGGCTTGGATTTCTAAAATTGCAGCCTTTCGAGTTTGGAGAAAGTGGAGCAGAAAAAGAGGATAAAGTGGCTTAAGTAGTAAATTGCAAGACACTTCTCCTTTCCATACGCGCTTTCTCTCTCGCTCTCGTACCATCGCCACGACACATTTCAAATTCAAACAACAGAGTTAGTTGGAAGACTTTTTTTTACAAAAGTGAAAAGCTGCTCATTTCCAAACCTCTTGAGAAATGGCGTGGATTTTGAGCAGGTCGATCCTCCTCCTCTTCACATGAACTTTGTTGGCAGAGAAATGGGGTTCGCTGCACTTTTGTTTTATTTATTTGTAGATTGTTGGTTTTTTTAATTCAAAAGTTTGTTTTTAAAGTTTGTGTCAGCATACTTTGGATTCGATTTTGGAACAAGTTGACACTGACATTGATTGCTATTTCATCTATTGGGAATATCTTGTTGGGAAAGTTGTTGAAAAATTAATTAAAGGGTTTCAAAGTTTTGATGAGTTTTTTAAGTTATTTAGAATTCATTTAATCCAAGACTTAAAATATATTTTGTCAGTTTGTTTGAGTATCAGTGTTATGTCGTCCAGACGTGGCTGTTAGTGTTCTATTTCGAATTTCGGTGGAATTACCTACTTTGGAAAGTTGGAGAAAGCTTTTCTCGTTTCTTCGCTTCTTTTACTTTCTACTACTTAATTTGTATTGCAGTAAATCGGAATTTGTCGTCGAATGTCTAAATATGCTACAAATAAAAAATAAATTGCACAAATTGACACTTTCTGCATTTTCAATTAATTTTTACTGAATTGAATCTTGTCCGTACATATTTCAGCTAAAATTATCAAGATTTGGAAACATGAATGAATCGTCTATTCAATTGTTTCCACTATTGGTTGCTAGACATGAAATAAAGAAACAGACTTTAACAATAAAATTTAATGTAATTGTCTCTCTCGTCTTTGGGATCCGTTCCAAAGAATCTTTCCGCTTGCAATAGTTGAGAAATTGATTGTCACTTATGGAGTTTTGAAACGCGAAATGTTTTCATTTATTATTTGTGTGGTACAAAAAATGAGTCTCCAAATAATAAAATATGATACAAATAATTAAGTTGTAACGCAATCTTTTTACATGAATTTCAGGTGATGCTCGTGATCCGACCTAACCTCCCTGCCGGAGCAAAATACAAGTGCGTCTTTGGCTCCGCTCCACCAATTGATGCCGAATTAAAGCCTCACGGTCTCGAGTGCAAAACGCCATCTGTGAACTATCGCCCTCTCATTCCTGAGGACCAAGATCACATCCAAGTCGATTTGGCCGTGCGGTCCTCCGAGACGAACAAGGATTTTGTCAGCCGGGCTTTCTACTACTACAACTGCTCTCGTCACACAAGGTGCAGATCCTGCGTCAAGGCTTCGTGGGGATGTAATTGGTGTTTGTATGAAAACCGATGTGTTCACGACACGACTGTTTGCAATTCGTCCTCCATCATTAGCGGTGAAAAGGTCGCACTTCTTCACATGATGCATCAGGTAGGTGTTCAACCATTCTGTATTTATTTTTAGGAATTTTTCATTGCCGAACAAATTATTTTGTGGTGTGATGACACTAAATTGGTATTTCCTGTTTATGATCACTTTATGATAATGATTTCAAACGGGGTGCGTACAGATTTGTTTACCATGCAGATTACCTTTTCGCTCTCGTTTGTAGCCAATTCATAACCAGCAATACACTGTTTAGTCTTATGACCAACATCTCCTACAGTTTCGGACCAACTGGGTCAACGATCATTAATAGTTTAATCAATACACAGTTATGGCAATCATGTTGGTTACTAGGGCTGGTTACTCATTGTTTGAAAGATGTAGGAATTTGGAAATAGGAAAAGTTTTCAGCTTTAAGCGAAAACTTGGTTTTCTATTAGTTCCCGTCCCGTTTAATGCTTTTCCTTCCTCTTGCTGCATGTTAAACGGGAATGGAGGCAAGAGATAAAAGTACTGCACAACTTTTGGATAAATTTTGCTGGACAACACAAGTTGGCTCATTTAGAACCATCCTTCATATTCATTACTTTGTTAGGCTTGTTAGATTCGCACGGTGTGGCGGAGGAAAGAAAAATTGCTCCTTACACAACGTCAAAAAAGTTTTGATCACTTATTCCCCGAGAAAAATGCATTGCCAAAAAAATTCCTCATTCCATTTTCAGATTTCTTGTAGACTTCACATTTTTAGTTAAACTATTTTTCCCCTTCACACAGAAATTCCACACTTTGCTGATGGATGTGTTGTTATTTGCATAGTAATTTTCATGAATATTTATTTTTCGTATTCTTGGCTCACATTTTTAATTCTTTTCGGATTATGAGAAGAGAACGCGTTTACTAAATTAAATTAAACTTTCCCCTTCCGCCTCCTCCTCCTCTTCTTTTTACTTCTTATTATTAGGAGGAGACGCACCGCACTTTTTAATGTACTCCCCCCACTTGCATTTCTATACTCTGCTTTTAATTTTAAAGCCCATCAATTCATCCCTGCCATAAATCGGAAGTTCTCTTTCTTTTCTATGGTCGGTAATGAAAATGGGTCTCCCCGCTGACAAATCAATTTAATAAGAAAGAAGCAAGCATTTCCTCCATCACGCACACTAACCAACCAACCAACCATCATCTCATCACACGCACAAAGCATAGCACTTGCACGACTTGGTTGAGTATTCTTGCATACAATGCGCGTATTCTTGGCAAAGTCTCGTTCCGATATAATATTAACTCACTTTTGGTTTCTTATTATATCGCCGGACTGGCAGTGGCTACCTGTGGTGTCAATTCCGTCTTCGCATCCATCTCCTCTCACTGGAATCCAATCACTCACTTTCTTTTCTACTGCGAGTAATCACGCTCTCTGCCTCGGTCATTATTCTGCACCATGAAATGAATGATATAGATATCGATTGCAATCACCTTCAACTGCAAATAAGTCGTGACGCTATGCCATGAACATTAAGTTATCGCGTTGAATCCTCCAATTTGTTAATTTAAATGGTGCAGTCAGTCAGTGTCATAAGCATACCCTGGACAAATATTTTTTTATCCTACCCTACTCGTGTTGAGCTCAACATGAGTAGGGTAGGATAAAAAAATATTTGTCCGGGGTATGGTCATAAGTCAACGCGCTTCCTTCACAGTTATTCAATTTTATTCAGATGCATTTTGAACTCGAATTTCGTAAAGTGTTTCATCGATCTACAAGCAGATAAATTGCCAATTTGTGACATCAGAAACAAATTGAAGAACATGTGTGTACATAAATAAGCAACATTTCTTATTGTTATGATCATCATTGTAGCGGGACATGTCATCAGTCACTATCATTTTACATGCAGGACTACTTGATTTTATTTGATTTAGTCGTAAACTACTAATTTACTAATGCATTCACCGCTCTGGTTGAGCACAACTTGGTTATGTTCATATTAATTCGGACATTGACGGAGATGTGGTTTGGGAAATTTTGGAGAGTGAAATGCTCCATATGTAATTTTATTTGGAAGTGAAACCCTGTACGATAGGCAAGGGTGAGGTTAGGTGTGGTGGTGCTGGGGTGGACGGATGGCTTGGATGGTTACGTAAGAGGCCTCACATAAAGCACGTGGTGGATTTTAGGGAAATTTTGACCCCTACCCCCGTGGTGTGACCTACTTATGTGCCCCATGTTATAATTAACATGGGAAGGGTAGAACCCTACCCCCTCAAATCCATCACATGATTTTTGCACAGTCCCTAAACTTGCATTGTAGCCGTATTCAGGAGACGCGTTGCATGTACACGCATGTAAAAGAGCGTGAGGAAGTCGTATAATCGTAATAACGAAATGAAATCGGTTCGGGTGCAGCAAGGAAACTGCATTTCGGTGCACCATTAATATTGCCGGCGACTTCAATGTTAATGCCAATGTTACTACACACATGACTGCTGCCGCTGCTGCTGCTTTTATTACTACGCACTCGTCCTTTTGCATATGGTGGCCAAATTGTTATAAAGCCAGTCATGACATTGAGGAGGGTGAAAATAAATAGAATATTGAAAATTGACTAGTAAATGCATACATGGGTTTAAAAGCGATAAAATAATATTCATGCAGAACATGCACTCTTGTTGATTACCGAGAATAATAGACTTGTAATAATGTCATCATGGTGTGAGCCTGGGATGCGATGATACCCGTTTTATTGATGGATGGAGTTGTAAAACAGTACTGGCGGATATTTGGGCGAGCATGCTTGCAGCGGAAGTGACGTGAATTGCATATGCATAATAATGAGCGTACATAATAATACTGTCGGCTTTTGAACCAAAGGAGAGACAATTTAATAATGCGAGTCAAATGTGCAACATGCCATAATTTCATGCCGTACTTTCTCCTCCAACTCGACTCCTTCTTCATGAATTGAAATGCTGATTGCAATCTCTTTGTCTCTAATAGCAGACTTATGCTTGTGAGGGGCTGAGTAGTACGCAAGCAAGCTGAGGAGCAATTTTAAAATTCGGCGTGAGGAGGATAAGTGGCAGTTTGGTTGGAGTGAGTGCAGCATGAACAATGGGGTTGAGGAGGAGGGTGGCCCATCGAAATCTTGGCTGCGAGCTAATGAAGTCACAGCCTGATGATGTTTCCTCCCGCTGATTGACCAACTTCCAGGCAGCTGCAGTACAGAATTAAAATTGTTAAGGTCGTGTGTCACATTTAGTAGCAGTTGAGTAACCATAATCGCTCGTAGGAGAAAACCAGTGGTGTTCTGAACTCATGTATGATCGTGACATGATAGGAGCCAATGACGTGTTTTAAAATTAGAGCAGTCAAACGAAAATTACAGGGTTGGTGGTAGAGTCGAGCCTTCAGGGGCTGTTTGGTCGTCGGTTGGCAACTCCTTTTCATTTCCTCTTCCTCACACATGAATATTTTAGTAAATGAGAAACTGATTTGCAACGGCCTGCAACAAAATTATTTTACTTCACCTGACCTTCCATTCACTCATTCATTTTATAATTATTTATGACGCCGGTATTACGTAATAAGTAGTGGTCAACAATTTTTGGATGGCCTGAACCGGCCACCGCTACCGCTTGGACTAACAGCTTTGCTAAAGTAGTAAACCTTGTTTTGGTGACAAGTGCAAATCTTGAGGAGCAGTGACTTTTTAAATACCTCGAGTGAAGGCGAGTGAGAGAGAAAGAGAGAAACGGAATCACTGGCCATTTAGAGCTACATGATTCTTACATTAACTTCCTGGTCGGGTGTACAGATGGTGGAATGTGCATTGGGAAAATTATTTTCTGTCCAGTGAACCGTGGACATTTGATTGATCTTGAGATCATTATTCAGTGCCCACGTAGTAAACCTTCTTGCTTTTGGTCATACACACATGTTGTATATCTCTCAATTGCTAGTAAGAATTTATCTCTTGACTCTTTGCGGAGAGGGAAAGAATTACAACGAGGTGGTCATAAAAGCAGTGCATTTTAGTCAGACGCACGCATATGTTTCCCTTAAGTGTAAGTTGAAGGGTTGATTTTCTCGAATTTGCGAGTCTCAATAGCTGCGAGTGGGTTAAAGTAGAAAGCAAGTGGGAAAGGAGTCGTCTTGCACGGACTTTAACCCTTATGTCGTCACGTAAGCCGCGGACGGATGATGGATTAAGATGGAAATAGATTTTAAAGCAGGTTCAGAAATGGATTTCGACCAAGTGCAAGGCGTGTGGTGTGTGTGGCTGCTGCTTGGTTGGCGATGGTTGTGGCGGAAGGAAAGCACACAAACACGGCATGTGTGTGTGTGATGTTGAGTTGCTGAATGTTGATTTTTTGGGGTGTGAAGCAAGTTGGTTTGGTTGGAAAGTGTGAACTCGTTATTGGATTTTTGATGTCCTGTGGTGTTGCTAAGTGTGAGACCTGCCTGTCTATTGTACCTGCTTTCGGCGGGTGCCAAGAGGAAGTATATGCGTAAATGCAGTTATCATCATCCCATCCCATCGACCCAAATTATGCGGGGCTGCATCATATCAAATTTCAACCGACGACGACGACGACGTACTTACTTTCATTTTTTCAACTGCGTTTTCACTGCTCTTCCTCCTCTCGATCCACGTCAAGTTGAAACGCTGCATTTTAAATCGTCGTTTGACATCAATTCAATCAGCAAACACTGCACGATGGGGTAGGGAAATGAGTTGAATGATGGTTCAGGGAGGTGAAATCAATAGTGAATGCATTTTTTGGCTCTTGAAAACTGCCACTGTCTACTTTGCATAAAATAGTTAAATTTGATACGTGCATCTATGGCCAATTCTTTTCTGAATTTAGTACCAATTTAATATGAATAATGATTTTTTAATATGAAATTGCCTACGAACCTGGTCACCTTGGTTGGTGTATTGATTGCAAAACATAACACCAACGAGGTAAATGTACCGCAATCATGTTCGGATCGGATTATTGAAGCAGTAGTGGTCTGCCGCAGCCATTGTTATACAAGATGCGGTGACGCAAGAGTAATGTCCACGTTGTATAACGGACATGGTTGACATGAGACGAGCAGGTAGATCGTCGTAACAGTGGTACTTTCTGGGAATTGTGAGGTTTCACCCCGAAAAGTGGCTTAAGGTTCGCGTCTAATCTGAATATATTGACTCTCCAATGGCTGTACGACGACGACTAAGGCTTGTGCTACCACCACTACTTTGAGACTCAAGTTGGTTGTTGAATCTAGAATGCAAAGATTTCAGATCATTGCATTTTTTATGAGATGGTTGGTTTGCATTAGATTACATCACATTTATGTTCCAGCCTTGGAATGCATATTCTCATCTCGACGAGGAGGAGAAGAAGCCGGATTCCAAGGATTTCATTTTCTACTTCCGAATCCTCAGATTGCCGTTCGCCCTATGCACTTTCGGGTGAAGGGAGGAATACACTCTTAGAAAAAATTTTACTTTTTTGAAAAGTAAGTGCACTTTTTACTCCATATGAAGTAAGATTTACTCTGTATCAAGTAAGCGTTACTCTGGATTTAGTAAACTTTGCTTCATATGGAGTAAAAAGTGCACTTACTTTTCAAAAAAGTAAAATTATTTCTAAGAGTGTAGGATCGGAGTGGAATGAGGTGATTTTCCGCGTTCTCCTCCAGTGAAAGTGGTGTGAGGGCAACACGCTTACTTATTCCTCCTTCCCTCAATGACGGCAAAGACGAAATATGTCAAGGACCTTCTCAAGTGGTGCAGGTGACTTGCTGATGCGATGCAAACTGCATATTCTTATTCGAAACGCCACCTTCTTCACGAGACAAGGGGAATGGAAATTCATGCACAATGTAAATTTTTCTCTGCGTCCAAGTCCTACAAATATATCCAAAGCGTGCAATGCAGTAGGGAAAATACCGCTTATCACTACCACCCGCCAGGGCTAACTGCCCTACAAAGTGCAAAGACGGTGGTCTCTAAAGTGGAAAAGTCTATACGTAAATCCGCCTACACAAGTTTTTATCAAAGAATAACATTACTGTTCCTTCTCATTAAGTCGATACTAGGGATTCGTACAAATCCCATCAGCACTTTTATTGGCCGTCATCCATTTCGATTTCAAAACTGCATCAACCAAAATTAACAGTGACACTCGAGCCGGCAGCGTCCAGCTTAGCCAACGTATCTCTTATATCATTTGCCATATTAATACGTACTACACACGAGAGAGAGAGGGTCGAGGGAATGTGTGGGATGAATGCAAAAATTTTTTGAGGTTCTGCATTTTTTCAATGTCACCCTCCTCTTGCTTTCTTCGCGTGGGTCTGCTTTGGTGGTGATGCATCATCGTGTATCCACCAGCGTTGGGTGGGGATGGATGGGAGGCATTTCACTTTTTACTTGATTGAAATGCTCACTTCAGTGCATTTCCTGGTGAGAGAGGAGCCTGCTTGGATGGGATGGAACTCACTGAGTCAGAAGAAGGTCGGTCGGTCGGATCCATCTCCATCGGAGTAGTGGTGGTGAATCTGCTCCTACGGTCTCTGCAGCAGTGGGGAAGGTTTCAACAGGGGTCAAAGTGAACTCTGTTCGACGACTGCTCCACGCTCCCTGATGCATTCGTGATCATCATCTTGATTATTTATTATCTTCTCGTTCCGACGGATCCACTTCATTCAGTCGTCAATGCTCAATAGTCCCTCAGGGCGGCTAAACTCTAGTTCCACTCAAAGCTGCCTCACTTTTAAGCACCATTTCTCCTTCCTTTGCATTTCATCATTTATTGCAAAGGAGAGGAGAAAGCCAGCAATTCGGCCGCTTTTGTATCATGATTTCGTCTTGTGTATGTATATATTCTCAAAACTTTTGTGAGTTTCCATGTAATGATAGTGTTTCTGTCATGTCATCCGTCGGCCCCTCGATCACTGAAGCTGCTGCTGCGTGTGTTGCGATGTGTAATGGAATGCGATGTAATAAATTACTGCAAACATGGAAAATTAATATTGCCAGATGGATGACTACAGAGATATATTGCACATTATTGTCCAAAATGTGTGTAGTTTCATTAGAGGAAACATGTGCACACGCATATTTCTGAGGCATCAAACAAAGTTATTATTTATTTGTCAGTTATTAAATTTGTAAATGTTCTGGACAACGGGACTGAGCTGATGTATGTGTGTATTTTAATATAAAAATCGTCGCATTCACATCTGTACGCCGTGTACCTGTCACTTTGCCTCATGTTGATTGTTTGCCTCCTCCTCCTTGTGTAAGAATTTCCTTTGAAATATCCACACGAAAATTTGAACGGCTACATTGTGACAAAGCATTGTCCAATTTAATTGAGATTGAGAAAAGTCTTGCAATCTACAAATCTACACAAATGTCAAGTCACAGTCTCGTTACGTCGGTGGAAATAAAACTTTCTCTAATTTTAAACGCGAAAATCTGTAGAATCAGAAGGAGAGAAATAGGGATCTTCTGCCGGAGTGAAGTGAGCTGATAAGAAGAAACTGAGCAGCATCTTCTTATTCTTTGAAACGTTTGAAATGCAGAATGTTGGAAATGAGATTTGGGTTCCGTCTCAGATAGTTCACTTGATATCGCGCAGTTAGTTGATGATGACATCGCATTTTGCTCCCTTTTTCGTATGCTTGTTCTTATAAGATAGTTGTGTAACATGTAGATTGGCCAGATTTTTACATCCGCCTCAACTACCATCACCAACCACCAAACCAATTTTTTCTCCTCCTTCTCTGGAGAAACCACAAATCAAAATCAAAGCACATTCACATAGCTGCATCTGATGGAAATGTGGAAGCCGGAGAAGCAGCAAGTACTTAAAGCAGTCACGAATTAGAATTTTTGGGAAATGTAATTCAAGATTCCAATTCGCCTCAAATTTTTCAAGCATCAACTTCATCGTGTTTTAATATGTTTCTCTATCTCTTCCTCCTCCTCCACAAAACTTGTTTTGACTCCACTGGTGAAATTTGGCATTTTAGATTTCTTTGCATATATTGAATCCAATCCAATTTGAGACAAGATCCCACCACATTCAGGACGGCTTGGCAAGTTGCATGGCATCCTGGGTTGCTAGATATATAAGTTTATAAGTACGTAGGGCTCAAACTTGGCTACATTACGTAAGTCCAATTTCCTCCTCCTCCCAAGAAAAAGACCTTGCTTTGCTGGTACAAGTAGAAATGAGGGAGAAGAGGTTAGGGCGCAGATCTAAATCCGAGATGACAGTGAAATTCAGCGATTCAGCCTTTTTTATTTGAGTTAAGCACTGAACACGTTGCCTCTTCTCTTATGAGGAAAGGTAGCCAGAGGGATAAATTTTGTGCTGTGATGTGTCGTAATGTGATGAAATGAAATATTTTATTAAGTGCGACTCCTTCCGCCGTTCAACCTGCCACTGTTTGAGTGGAAAAGAAAATCCAGCAGGCTTTGTTCCTGGAAATGCAACTTGATACAACAACGACGACGGAAGGAGGACGAATAAGAGACATGACAGAGTGCAGAAAAAAAGAAGCATTGTTTAGATCACAGCCAGCAAGCACAATCATTTTGGACGCCCAGTTTGGTCGTGAGAGATAATTTGGCAATATGTTTGTTCCTAGGTGAATATTTGAGCTTGCTCCTTTGCTCCTCGACTGACTGTCCTGGAAGCGATTCCTTAGACGAAGCAATTATTTCCGTTGCGAGACAGCCGCGTCCAACTTTGTCAGATTTCTTGAAAATGAATAATAATAAATATGAAGCCTCGTCTTTCATGACTATTCACGATGCAAGAATGTGGAAACTAATTTAAAAAATTGCAACTTCTTATGTAAGATGTTGTTATTGCATTGCAATACTTATTAAATTTCTGCCATATCATCTTCAAATAAAATAAATTTTGATACTTTTTCGTATGTGTGTGCTCATACATAAACATATATCTTGAGCCAAAAGGACGACGAGCACTATATGACTTTGACTTTGAGTCTCGTCGTCATCGTCGTCGCAGTCCTTGTGTTGTGTCCCCTGAGAATTCCAACATTTTGCTGACAAAGACCCTTTTCTTCTCATTCCCTTTTTCCAGACTGTACAACATGCACCAAGACACGTCACCAGTTGACTCCGTTTATTTTAGTTGGCTCACTCACATGTACACAGCTCGTTCGTACTATGGGACTGGTAAAGAGAGAAGAGAAAAAGCTCGTTTCCATATTATTCTAATCAGTTCGGCTCTTTTGATAGCAGCCAGAAAATAACCGGGCTGGTTACGGATTAAATTGGATATTTGAACCCAGAGTGGGAGAAAAAGACTACAGGAGATATTTGTAATTTGTGTAATGAATGCTTTGATTCTACTTCATTTCTTGTTTGAAAATGAGACCCAATGAGATGAAATGTTGCGTCCTTTGTTGATCTGTGAAGATGGTGTATGTATTTAGAGAGGGTGAAAGCAGGGGGCAAATATTGACGCTGACTGGTTATCTAAGTATTGTGTAAGTGTATACTTTTAGGTGGATGAGGCAAACAGCCCCATCACCGTTGCTGTTGATGACCAACTAATTATTTTATTTAAACTATTACATGACGATTTGCAAATGTAAATGAGGACGAGTTTGGGTTGAGGGAGTACTAAAAGGCTTTTTGTCTTTTAATCTAAAATCTGAAGAGGTGACAGATGAGCTGTTGTCTGTTCCAAAGAACGTTTCATTAGCATCAAACGAGGAATTTGGGAGTTGAAGATAGAAGCGCGTTGTAGTTTAAAGATGTTATCTCCCTCTCCTTACATTCGAAATTCCATGCTTGGCAGTGGTGTGGTTTGCAGTGATAGCATGTCGTCGTCGTGTGCATTCAAACCTCTGATGCATGTGTCGACTCTCTCTCTCTCTGATAAGATTTTATTTGGTGAAAATTTGTCACTTGGTCCTTTGCATGGAGTAAATCTCTAATCAACCGGTTGACGATGATGCTTTGTTATTTTTAGCCGTGGAGGACATGGAGAGAGGCTGTGATCATAAAATTAAATTCAAAGTATGTATACACACAACAGACACATTTTGCAGTAGAGACATGGGACAAAGTCTGTGTGAAATTTGAAGCTGTGGGGATTGTTCAATTTTCTAAATTAAAATTGTGTCGTCGTTGTCTTTCGTCGTGTGGTCGAATGATTCGGGTGTTTCGGTTCAGCGAAATTTGTGATTTTGGGGGAAGGGTGGTGGTGTTGGTGTAAAGAAATGAGAGAGAGAGGATGAACTTTGAGATTTAAGTGGTCCATGGAAATGAAATTCGGATTTTAGTTCCAGACATGGATCAAATCTTCTCTATCCCGTGTCTCATCCGCCTTAAACCACCCAGGGGCATGTTGTTATTTCTTCGGGCTGAATTCGATTAGTGGTTGAGTGTGGGGATAACTTATTTACATATTTTTATAGCTCACTTTCCCCATTATGCGGCCATGATTATAAAATCGTTTTAAGTAGAAGCCGTCAAGTTTGTGCGTACAATGTTAACTTTTGAGTAAATGAAGTGGAAAATCTGGTCTCGTGCAAAATGGGTCCGTTTATTAACTAATATTGTAAAAGGCTAGGCGACGACCTTACTCTATTATATTATGTATTTACCGCTTTTGGAATAAAATTGCTGCTGGACATAAAAATGTGAAATTTTTCCCTTACTCTCGCTCTACTGAAGGAAGTTAATCGATTGACATGTCAATTTTCTACTGCTTTCTCCCCCTTGACCTCTCAAAATTCTACATTTTAAAATTACAATCACATCATTCTGCTACATTGGAATATTTTAATAATAACTGTCAAATCTTGTTATTTCCAGAACCCTGCACAAATGGCGAAACATGGTTCAGGATTCTGCCCCCGTTTCCGCACCCCCAGCGAGCCTCTCCTCATCCCAAACAATGTGGCCAAACGATTGAAGCTCGAAGTGGAGAATCTCCCACGACAGGTAAAAATACAACACGGCATGCCAAAAATTTTATCACTTTCACTCTTGTTCGTCATCTTGCTACATACTCAAAACTTCAAGACTGGGTGCCAATTCAGCTTGTTTCTGGGCCCTTTTTTTCTTCGGAAGAGTCAGCAGGGTCTCTCTCTCTCTTGCTTCCTTCATAATCAGATTCTCGACCAGTTTCCATCTCAAAGAAATACTACTGGTGAGAGTCGTAGTGGAGAAGGAGGAAGGATCAGAGTTACGTAGAGATGAGTCTGCAGGGTCTGATGACAAGGTAATACGATGGCCGCATCTGGATGAGAATCTGAACTAAAGATGAGAAAGAGAGAGAAAGAAAGAAAGAGAAGCGTTCTTCTGTCTGTCGTAGATTGAATGCAATTCAATACTTCACCATTCCAATTTATCGCCACTGAAGCCATTGCCATTGGTCCCTTTTATACGCATTTCCCTTTCATCTTCCTGATTTTGGATGCCTTCAGTGTCCCACGTAGTGCGGGCATCTGTTGTAAATTTGTCTTTAACTGGAATCGTTTCCTACCATCACCAGACAAGGAGAGTTACATAATTGTCTCTGCAACTTGAGGAAAACAACCCTTGAAATACAATCCAACCACTCGTAGTCATGCTTAAGGTCAAATAAAATAATAAAGCGCCAAGTGAGACACGGTTTGATTAATTTACAAAAAGAGAAAGTTGCCCCTTTGGCTGGCAGATTTAGTTTTTGATTGGATCCTCCAAGTCGGATGGATGATAAAGACCGTAATGTAGATTAATATTAGAGATAGGCGAAAAATATGCGACTTACTGTCGGATAAACGGCGGTCTAATCTCTCCAGACTGAAGCACGTTTGCGTTCTCCTTCTCCCACGACGTCACGAAGTCCGGTTTATGTAACTTTCAGTGCACGGCATGATATTGAGCTCTTGTTATCTTAATATTTGATCTTTAGTTACCATCCAATTTAATAATATATTAAATTCTTGACTGTTTTATTCCAGGCAAACCATGCCGACGTTCACTGTATAATTGTAATCGAGGGATCCACCGTCAAAGTTCCTGCTAAAATTGACGCCAGCAGATTTGTTCTCTGCGACGAGACTACGGTAAGTTATTAATTTCATTAATAACAATTCGATGCAACCTCTCTGCGGTGTGATCAATGTGCGCAAATATTTATCGCAATATGTATATATAATTTGGGGCGGATTATGGGCTAAACTACATAAAATGCATAAATTCTATGCCATAGCGCTGCATAACTTTGTTGGGAGAGCTCCACACTGCGTCGTTGTGGGGGGGATGGTGTTATGTCAAAGAGCAAAAATATATATATGTCTGGAAACTATACATTTGACTTGTTTACAATCACGAGTTATGATGAAAGTTGTACGACCACGTTTTTCAACAAGTCATACACAAGAGACTTGAAAATTACTGACTTGGCATGACACGTATAGCTTGATTACGCCAGAGAAGTCACACTCTGCCACGCTTCACATTTTTAGCACTTGACATTTATCACTCATAAAATTCCTGAGAAAGTACATGAGTATGAGAGTTGTGAGTTTTTGGTTTTGCAGTAACAGCACTCTTACATACTCTGACTTGGTCCTAGAAGTAGCGACCTGAAACTTGGTGTTTTTCTCCCCATTCTCATGCGTTCTCCTTCACATCCATTGGCGAATAGGGTCGAATGTCGACCAAAGTACAGAGTTTTAAAAATTTTATCGAGCTCTTGAAAGGTTTACTTACTTTACTTTACTCGTTTACTTACTTATTGCTTCGGTCGATCCACGCGCTTTGCCCACCACGACCACCACTCAATTTCAACATGTCGCAGTTTGACTCAATTATGGCAACTTTAATAGTCTTAAGTAAATGATTTTCTCATGTGTGTGGGTTTTGTTGTCTCGTTCGCATCTTTATTTTATGTTGAGTCATGTCATTCATGCTCTTTGACTTTCTTGCTTTTAACTCCAGGAATTAAAGTTGGAGTAGCTCGAGACTCAAAATGTCTCATGATAAGAGTCAGTAATAATCAAAGTCAAACTTGGAATTTCGTATGAAATAGTCGATTAACGTCAATTCCTCCTGTGGTTCGTGTATTCAAATGCGTGTTGCAGTTAAGAAACCAGTGATTTTTCTATACCTGGTCGCTTAAACGGTTCGTGAATGAATACTCGCTCGAAGAGGATGATGATTGTACGCATTGAAGACGAAGAAGGATGAATACGATATTTAAATCATTTTTTTTAATTCCAGCTCTCCTACAAATCTCAGCAAGGGGAGTACGAAGGGACGGTGACTGTGATGTGGAAGCAGAACCATCACTTGGATACCATGAATTTCACTTTGTACAAATGCGAGATTCTTGGCTCCCACCGAAGCCATCCCGACTGCTCTCTGTGCGTCACACCCAGCAATTCCAAATACAGATGCACATGGTGTGGCGATACGTGCACGTTTCGCGACCAGTGTCTCAAGTCGGCAGTCCAAATGTCCAAATGTCCCAAACCTAGAATTGATGTGGTAAGTCCTCCTCTTCTTGTAACAAAATTATTACTCCAGCACCAGCTCTGTTATCATATCATTATCAGCAGGCCTAAATGATTTTCCCCGAATTTGGGTGGGTCGTCCTTCAAAAAGGGTTTCCTACAAAATGAACGTACTCGTTCTTGGTACTATTTATCTCTCATCACATCAAGTACAAGTATGTGCACACCAGTCGCACAGTCGGCGGTGTGAAGCCCATCAGAGGCAATTGAAACTTATCTTTGTGAGCAGCAGTTAAAAGGAATTGACTACCTGAAAGTCTTGTTTTGATTTCTATCTCGAGTTTCATACAATATTGATATTTTATTTGTACTCCGAATGCAGCATGATCACTCATATCATCGCCCATCCAAGAAATCACTCTCTTTACATAAATGGGCATTTGATATAATTAGGAGATGAAAGAAATGATAGGGCTTTAGAGGAAAAAAGATGTCATGATGCGTTTAATGGGCTAAAAGTCTTTTCACAGTTTCTGCTCTCACTCTTGAATTTTTATTCTGATTGTTCCAGTTTTTAGAATCGATTTGCTTTTTGGTATGTAATAACGATCCGGTGTACGATGTACGATAAGAGCAATTGGTGAAATCATTGCAATATCTTTATCGAAATTGTCCATGCCAAGAGTAGAAAAATGCTGACAACTTGAAGCAGGTTTTTAATAGAGTTGTCAGTGCGGTCACGATTATGTCCAACCAAGTCCTGTCCAAGTATTACAGTAGTCTCGCAATATGATAATGCCAGGTCATAATGCAAATTATATAAAATTAAATACTCATCATCATGACGTTGTCGAATGGTTGTGGTCGTTGAATAAAAAATATATCGCTTGGTGCAAATCGCAACCCATCAAAGATTGACAATAACTTTGATGGATACACAATTGTTATTCTAGTTATTGGTTTGATGTGCAGATATCTTTGAAGAAAAAACCATCAGTCTTGCCATTATATTTCACATCAGCGTGATCTGTTGTGTCACGAATTTTTTTCTGGTAGTAATTGATCGTCAGTTTGATTGCTTCCTTCCTCCGTATTTCTTGCACATAACTTACGCAGTGTTCTGAACTTTCGTGCTGGTAGAGATAGTAAAGTTCTTTAAAGCTCTGGGGATATCATTTGAATTATAACAACTGATAGTTAACAGCTTCATATTGTTAGTCTAGCCCCACGATTGTAAATAGTGGTGAACTGACGAAAGTTAAAATTGATTGTCTCCAGAAATAAGAAGACGGTGGTAAGAGAATTGCACTTTTGTGCACAAGAAGGCATCTACGTATGTACATACATACTGCGACCATATATATCCACCCACTTGGCTTGATCAACCGATACATACATACATACATCCCTTAGGAGCCTCTGTATGTATAAGGTTGTGGAGAAATATTGGAGATATAAGAGAGATTTGAGCCACTGATATGAAGGATTTATTATGACGGTTTCTCTGTGCCAAGTCCTTCAGTAAATTGCACATCATCAAGAATAAGAAGAAATGCAAAATTATGTAGGCCCGAGCCAAGAAAGTTGAATAAAAGGATTTCTGTTCTGTTTCCGGAATATGTTTTTAGATGTTTGGTTGGAAATATTGTTATCGGAACTTGTTACTTGTTTCCAGAATATGGTCAACTATTTACGCATTTGGATATTAAATTCGTGTTTGGCAGGGTAACCAACCCAAGGGCGGTCAATTTCTTATTTTTATTCATGACGGCATACATGCATTCTTTTGTAGAATTTGGTTTAAATAACTAATTAAATAAAACTACTTGAATTAAATTGATTGAATTACATTAACTCCAGCGTGGTGGTTAAAATCCTCGAGTTTTAGCAGGCCGAGAATCTAAAGATAGAATAGAAGAGAGACAAAGAAAGTGAATTGAATAAAGATCGAGTCCAGGTCGACGAGTTTTCTTATGCGGTGGCTGCTTCTCTTCTTTTGCGGTGGTGTGGATGATCCTGTTGTTTGATGGCTAGTGGTTGAATAGAGGAATGAATGAGTCATTTGAGTGCACTGCTCTGCCTGCATCGCTGAAAGGAGAAGAATGAATGGTATTGACATTGGATGCAGTGATTTAGATGAGACTCTTGAGAAATCCGCACGTAAAAGCCCATCCGCATTTGTAAATGAATCAAAGTCCAGGCTCGTGAAAGAAGGAAGGAGAGAGCAAAGAAAGCAGGAAAGAAAGAAAGGCGAGTTGCTTCCCTCATTTTCTAGTTCTCTGTGGTAAACTTGATTTATAAATGCCACTAAAATGGCAGCAGCAGCGCTTTCAATTCCATTCTACGTACGTAATGAAGGCACTACCACCATCATCACCACCACCACGACCACGCTGATGACAGAGAAAGTTGGGCACAGATTGACTCTCTTTCTCCAATCGGAGAATAAAGAATAGGCCACAGCTTTATCTGAGTTTTGCAGTATTAATTAATCGAACTCAATGCGGAAACATGTTCGCACTCGTACTTACTAATATTTTACTGTCGCGAGTGCAAAGTTATGAATAATAATTGGACTTGATTATTCCGTTATCATTTCCGTCAGATGCGTATATTTGCAATTGTGATTATACATTTCTTAACTAATGTTGTTTTTCCTCTAAAAAAAAGTCCGAGCAAACATTACGGAAAGATAGAAGAGAGACGTGATGGGGCTCGAAGATAGATAGCGATAGTAATAATTATACTAAGGTGACGCTGGCAGATAATGCTGGTGGGTGGCCATCCCAGTTTTAATGACATGTTCACCCAACATTATATTATTCTCGCCACGCGCAACACTGGGTTTCCTTTCGGCTTAGTCTGCCAACATCATAATGGATACGTTATCCACTCAAGAAGTGGAAATTAATTTGATCCGACGAGATTTTGACTTTTGAGAAATTGCGCACGGATTGATTTGGCTGCACAATCTACTCTGCTTGCAATCAACACCAACAATCAGTGTCACCAGGAGAATCGGGCCATCAACCATCCTGGGCACAAACACGTGTGTCAATGTGCCCGTGGTGTGTAGCTTGTTACAGCCTCTTTATTAGCTATGTGATGTGAATTTTCTGAATGTGATTGGGTGTGGAGATTAGGTGAATCTAGTTTTGCCTTACTCCAACGCCGTGTTGTCTCCTCATTCTTTTATTTTTATTATTACTTCCATCGGCACACCAAGCTCATTGGATTCGTTAGAGTTCGTTGTTGTGGTTTCTGCGTGTGTGTGTGTGTGGGGGGGTGGAATTAAGTGCGGCTGAGTGAGGGTGAGATTTGGTGATGGTGAACAATTGAATAGAGAAATAATGACACTCCATTTTATTTGCACTTGTCTTTATTTTCCGTCCTCGTATTTATTTTTCCTTCCCTCTTTTCCTTCCCTCAGCTGCTGTCTTGTGCTGTGCATAGTCTTCCAGGCAAGAAATGTTCATCTGCTTTCATAGATAGAAATGCTTCTCTGGGGAAGAAGGTCTGCAGAATCTGGTTGTTAAATATGGCATAGGAGAGAGGAGCTGATTTGGTTGCTGTCAAGGGTTATTAGACCGGTCTACAGCTAAAATTAATAAGGCGAAGCGTTTCAGGGATGCACTAAACTGGATATTGCGGGTGATAATTAGGTGACTTAACTAGTCAGTCGGTGCTACCTTGTTACGAGCGAGAAGGTTGTGTTTGGAGAGGATGAAATGAATTAACCAAGAACGCGGTAGGCAGACATAATAATGCGCCAGGAATGAATGGATGGTAGAATTCTTCGTGTTCGGAAGTTCTGTCGGTACATCGTTGGTTATGGTGTTCTCATTACCAACTCACTTTTATTTATTGCTGAAATTGACAGGTTTTCCCCTCTGTCTCCTTTCCCCACATAATCAACACTTGAGTTAGACTCGGCTCATCTCTTGTAGATATTTAACTGCTTCCCGTGTGTTGACTAGTTGATGGTCAATACTCACATGACAAGGCCAGGCACATGTGGTAGCGTCCTCATTATTGTATTCTTAAAGGCGATGCAAAAACCTAGAATTGTCAGAAATAAGAAAACTCTGTTCGATTTCAAACTTGCCGAGAATTGTGTCGAGAAAGGAGAATCTAGTTAAAGTGAAAGCTGACAAATCTGATGAAAATTTGAACTAAACATCAAATTTGAGTAGAAAATCAGAGAGTGCAATGGAAAAATATCGAAATATGATTTCTTTTCATTTTTCCATAATAACGCAGGGGAAATGGTATAGTCTGCAGATTACATTGCACCCCTGCTCCTCGTATTTCCTTCAAAGTGCTGCTTGATTTTGCCATTTTTATTGATATTTATGCACCAATACATAAAATAAGCGTATCGCTTTCTCTCTTTTGCTGGGGAGATTTACTTTGCATAACGGAGAAGAAATCAGTACTGTGGAATATTCCCCAAGAGTGAAAGGAAATAAAGAGCTGTGTTCTTTTTCCTGGTTTGGTTTGTGGTGGCTGCTCCCACATGGAGACTGGTGATAAGGAGATGGGAGTGTTATATTGTTTGCGATGGTAGTGCTCCAGCCAGTCCTGGGTCTGGAGACAGGCATCATTTTGAGGAAAAGGTAGTGATGAAGCACCACATCAAGGAAATTGCTTTAGCCCATCGCACTTTTGAGTTTCGCATTCCTGCGTCCTATTTCTATTTCCTATTTATGATTCCGTCTCCGTCCTTCGCTTCCTTCGCCTTGCACCAAACGCTTCTTAGTTCCAGCCCAGAAATGCACAACGCAACAACAACAACCACGGCCGACCTTTCAACCAATAATGCTAACTTGAACCTTAACATGCAACCGAGTTTCAGTCCTTAACCCGTGATGATACTATCTAGCACGGTCGGGTAGGATAACGCATAAGCACATTGAGCTGTTGAAAATCTTTGCACATGGATTTAAGGTTTTGCCTGTTTTCCTACCACCAACTTGGTCTTATGCATAGATACTTACGAAAGTTAGTCGGAGTGGAGATATTGACATTAAATAT